CGTGTGTGCTCAGTCTCCCACTGCACCCTCCCTCTGTCCTCGCAGCCCTTGAAGCTGCATCCTGTCTTTATTCTCTGCTCTCCTGGTCTAGTGAGCCCAGAGCCATCTCTTCACATAGGCCTTTGTACTGTCTCCCCCCACACCTTCCCTCTGCAGGTGAAGGGAACTCGGCTTTGTCACCCCTGAACCCCGGAGAGCTCCTGATCGCATTACACAACATCGATTCAGTCAAGTGTGACATGAAATCCATCATCAAAGGTGAGGCGCTCCCCGCCCCCCTTTCAGTCTTATGGTCCCTGCAACCCTGGGGGCAGAACTTCAGTCACTCACGTGTCCCCACTGGAAACCATCGAGTTAAAGATCCATGCTAACTGTAGCCCCACCTCAGAGTTCCAGGGACCCACTCTCCTCCCTCCCCACCCTTGCCCTTTACCACCTCACGTTTTCCGCCCATTCCCAAGGATGATTCGCTCCCAGTCTGTGCAGTTTGAGGGCACGTGCAGACACCACCCCCACCCCCCCCAGCCCGGACCATTTGTGGGCCCAGGTTAAAAGCCCCGATCAGCCAGTCCTGTAGTGTCATGTGGAGGAACCAAGGACCAGAAAGAAAGCTACAAGTGAGGACGTGGTCGGGGGAGACAGTCTTATAGAAGGGAAAAACTTGAGCAGAGTCCAAGGAATGTGCCAGCTGGCCTGCTCTGGAACCAAGTCGGGCTGGCTGGGCCTTGGGGTTCAGGGATGGGGCCTGGACGAGAGATAAGATCAGGCTGTAACCATTGTGGAACCGTTCCCAGGGCCCACCGCATAGGATCTCATGGGCCACCATGGGGGTTTTCTGTACATTTTGCTGTAAGTTGCATGCACTTGCCAGAGGGGCAGAGAAGGGGAAAGTGAGAAATCACTCCCTAGGGGGGATGGCCATGCTGCGGTTCCTTCTCTTCCATTCTCCTCTCAGGATTTTGGGCACACACACATGCCTGGCATGTTTTTCAAGCTGTCTGGTCTGAGATTCAAACTGCACAGTTCCATCCACCCCAACTCCCATGCCACTAGCCGGCCCAATTTTTAAATTGTATTACTATTATTTTGGTTAATTTGCTATAGGCCATACACATGCCCATCAGAGAAAAAGGGAAAGTGAGAAAACACCCCCAGGAAGATGTCTGTTCCACAATCCTTTCTCTATTCTTGTAGGAATCTGGGCACACGCACACATGTGCCCGGGAATCCTTCAGGTCTGAGACTTGAACTGCATAGTGTGCCATGTGGGATCCAGCACCTTAACCACCACTTCGTGGTCTGTTCCACACAGTGGGGAGTTGGCCTTTTCTCTTGAGATCCTCTGAGAGGAAAGGGGACAGGTTTGAGCTTTAGAAAGATCCCTTCAGGATACTGTATGGATAGTGGATTAGAGGTTAGTGGGGAGGCTCAGGGGAGGTCAGGGGCCAGCTGAGGGGAAGAGTGGGTTCTGGAGGCCTGTATGCAGCAGAGCAGGCCACTCTCAGTGACTGGCCACGAGGAGTGGGTGTATCCTGGAGTCAGGTGCATCCTCACCTACACTCCGTCCCATTGGCCTCCTATCTGTTTGTCTACCTGTCATAGCTCCATCCTTCCCCTTTGAGTCCTTCCCCCATTCCTTATAGGGTCCCTTCACTCCTGTTCTCCACTAGCCACTCTTGTATTGTGGGGACCTCCCCTCTGGCTCAATAAAGACTTCCTGGTTGACAGACTCACATGGTGAGTGGTATTTGGGAAAGAAGGGCTTCAGAGGCAGTTCTGGTGTGCCCCCACCACCAGCCATTACCACAGCAGCTCAGGGCATTGCCCCCGCCCTGAGGGATAGGCCCCAAGCCCAGCCTTGGAGTGCTTGTGTCATGCTGGCCCCAGTCTGTGCCCCAGCGCCATCTTCCTCCTGCCTTCCCTTTTTACTCTGCTCACTGTGCCCATGTCCCCATGCAACCCTAGCCCTGGCATCTGCACAAGCTAGAATGCCTGGGTAAGCTTGAGAGTCGCTTGCCAGCCATCTGGAGGAGAGCTGCCCTGCTTCACAGGGGTGAGGTGCACTGCCATGCCTAGCAGGCCAGGGCAGGCCACTGAGGGCAGGCAGCGTGCCTATCCAGGGCTTTCCTGGAAGTTGGGACCAAGCTCTCCCTACTGTCCAGCACCGGACTTCCAGGAGGTGCACCTGCCTTCGCCCTTGGAGCGGGTCCTCAGAAAGGGGCGCTGCTGGAGGGCACGTCTTCCAGAGAGCCTTGGGAAGGCAGGGCCAGATCTTCCCCTCATGCGGCCAAACAGCAGGATAGGGCTCGTGGAGAGTGGCGGGCATCTGGCCAGCAGCTGGGCAGAGAGGACAGGCCCATTTTCTGCCTCCTCGTAGCCACCAACCTGTGTTTTGCGGAGCGGAATGTGTACACATCAGAGGTGCTGGCCGTGGTGATGCAGCAGCTGATGGAGCTGAGCCCCCTGCCCATGCTGCTCATGAGGACTGTCATCCAGTCCCTGACCATGTACCCCCGCCTGGGGGGCTTCGTCATGAACATCCTGTCCCGCCTCATCATGAAGCAGGTAACCCCCCACCCACACACCCCGGCCCCCGGCGGCAGCAGGGTGCACTGAAGGTGGACCCGAGGCAGAACCCAAGCACTTTCTAGCCTGATGGCATGCCTCGAACCCTCAGCCCTCAGAGGGACTCTGCAGAGTAGCAGCAGCTACTGAGACCTCCTAGTCCTGCCTCTTGGCAAGAAAACTGCTCTAGGAGTCGAACTCATCTGGTGACAGGGCGGCGAGTGAGGGCACCTGGGCGGGGGGTGCCATAGTAGACTTCAGGGCTGTGCACCTAGTGGATGCATACTAGAACTGAACTGTGGTCCAGTTTTCCAGGAGATGCTAGAAGTGGGCTTTTAGAAATACCACGAGGGAACAGCCCACCCCGTCTGCAAGCCCGACTGGATTCAGGCGCAGGTTGCTACTTTGCAGCCTCTAGCCCAGAGGGTAAATGTGGATCCAGACCTGGTATCTGATCTCGTTTTGGCCCCTTGGACTCTGGACAAGTCCCTGAACCTTTCCGCCTCATCTCTTCAGCACTGGGGGCTAGTGTTGCCCTCTTGAGGCTGCTGTGGGACAAGCTGAGACTGCTCACAGGGCCCTTAGCAGGGGCTGTCCCAGCAGGAGCCCTGGAAAGGAGCAGTTCTCAGGTTTTCTCTTCCTTTTGCCCAAGTTGCCTCACATTCCAGCTGCCTAGATTGGGAGACGCCCCCGGAGGGGGTCAGGGCTGTGCATGGCCCAGAAGGATGTGTTGGATGGTGGGATGTAGGCTCCGGTCTTGGTGAGGCCTTTGTCCGTTTGTCCGAGGCTGGGTGGCTGCCTGTGTGCGCCCTCAGCGCACCCCCTCTGCCCATCCAGGTGTGGAAGTATCCCAAGGTATGGGAGGGCTTCATCAAGTGCTGCCAGCGCACCAAGCCCCAGAGCTTCCAGGTCATCCTGCAGCTGCCACCCCAGCAGCTAGGAGCCGTGTTTGACAAGTGCCCAGAGCTCCGGGAACCCCTGCTGGCCCACGTCCGTTCCTTCACCCCCCATCAGGTACCCCAGAGGGTAGGGGGGTACCCCCTTTTCTGGTCCAGCCCTTGGGCACTGGATGGGGGTGGGCAGAGGGGACCTGGGATTTGGTCCTCTAGCCCAGAGCTCTCCATAGCACCCCCTGCTCTCCACCTAGCAAGCGCACATCCCCAACTCCATCATGGCCATTTTGGAGGCCAGTGGCAAGCAGGAGCCGGAGGCCAAGGAGGCACCCACAGGGCCCCTGGAAGAGGTGAGGGCCCTGCAACCAGCATGCCTGGATCCCCCAGCCCCACCCGGACTCCATCCCATAGTCTCGGGCTACTAAGCCACCCATCTCTCAGCTGTGCACCTGCCTAAAGGGAGTGGGGTGGGGCACAGTCCCCTACTCTCTCGTGTCCCTGGTGGAAAGCTGCTGTCCCCCATCCTGCCGCATTGCTTCCTGCTTCAGGACGGGTGCGGTCTCTCCTTTCCCGCCAGCTTCTGAGAGCACCCATTCCTGAGTTTCTGTGCCTCCCCACCCCCAGGACGACCTGGAGCCCCCGGCGCCGGCTCCCGCCCCAGCCCCGGCCCCCGCCCCGGCTCCGGCTCCCCGCCTCTGCCGCCGCCTCCTCAGCCAGGCCCGGGCCCCCGCCATCAGAGGAAGCCGTAGATTTCCGAGAGGAGGGCCCTGAGTGCGAGACCCCGGCCATCTTCATCAGTATGGATGATGACTCGGGACTGACGGAAGCCGCACTCCTGGATGCCAGTCTTGAGGGGCCCCTACCTAAGGTAGGGATGACCACCCCAGAGCCACCAAGAGCCCGAGGACGGAGTGTGTGCGCAAGTTCGGGGCTGGAGAGCAGCGATCGTTTGGGCTTGGGGGTGGCAGGGAAGACTGGGCGTTGGGACCACGCATTCGGACCTGCTCCCTGTCGTCCTGTCACCAGGAGAACACAGCGGGCGGGCTGACATCCAAGGAGGAGCGGAGCCCCCAGACCCTCGCCCCTGCTGGAGAAGACGCCGTGAAGACCCCTAGCCCGGCCCCAGAGGAGGCGGGGGAGCCCGACGCCAAGGGGAACAGCTAGCTGACGGCTGGTGGGGAAGGGCCACCGGGTGGGGAGCAGGCTGGGATGGGGCTTGACCAGCGGTTGCTTTGCCTTAAAAAATAAATAAATTAAGGAGATGGCAGGTCTGGGCGCCGTGCAGGGTCTGCCCCCTGTCCGTCTCTGCCTCTGTCGCCACCGCGGGGTCAGATGTGATCTGCGGGATCCACAGTGAGTCAAGCCCAGGAGCTGACCCCTGGGAAGCCGGGGTGCTGGGGCGCGCCTGCGCAGAAGGAACCCCGGCGCACGACCCTGCGACCCCGCCCTCCCCTGGTAACGGCCAGGCCAGCCCCTAGCACCCTGGCGTAGAGACTGCCTGGCGGGCGAGTGGGCGGGGTTGTCTGTCTCCCGCCCCTTGCCTGTCTCCAGCCCTTCCTCCTAGAAGCCTGCGCCCCTTCTCCAACCATGGCGGAACCTCCACCCGACCCTTGGGGTGCCCCCCAGCCTCCCTCTAGCAGGAAGAGTTCCCAGTCCTCCGAACGGAGGCGCAGTCAGGAGCGCTCTCAGCCCCAGGCAATAGCCCCTGAGGGGGTGCAGCCGATTGATGCCCAGACTCTGTTGTCAGGGCAGCGGCGCTGGTCTCAGAGGGCCAGCCTGCCGCAACAGGAGAACTCGCTCGTGTCCCCAGCCTTCCAGGCTGAGGAAACCCGAGTGGGTGGCATGGAGAACTTGCCCATGAATGCCCGCTATTCCTTAGAGAACCAGACCCAACGCCGTGAAAGCGAGATCCAGGGCTACGCCCCCAACCTGATGCCGCAGAATCTGCAGCAGGGGCAAGGCAGCCTCTTCCAGCAACTGGAGTCTACCTACCATGACCCCCGGGGTCTCCTTGGTCAGGCCAGCCTCTACCAGACAGAGGACCAGCAGTTCAACGACAGTGCCCCACACGGGCCCTACTTAAGGGATGACCCTACACTCCAGCTCTCACCGTCTGAGCTGGCCTTCATGCCCTTCAGCGCCGAGGTGCCACAGCCTGAACCCCGGGAGCTGGCCGTGCAGAACGCCAAGGCCTACCTGCTGCAGACCAGTGTCAATTGCGACCTAAGCCTGTGAGAGGGGGCCAGGAGAAGGGAGGGTGGGGACTAGGCAGGGGTTGTTTTTCATGGAAAACCAGCGGCTCAGGGCATCTCACTCAGCTTGGAGGCAGGGAGTAAATAGTAATTGTAGCCAAGATTTCCTCAGCTGATGTGCTGGACTTCACTCACCGACCTCTAGTTCGCACAGTTGAGACGAGCACATCTACTGACTTTACGGAAGAGTAGCCTGAGACATAGAACTTAGGTCACTTCTCCAAGACCACACAACTAGGATGCGACGGCCTGGATTCTAGAAAAAGCGATCTGGTCCCGAGGCCCTCTGTGTATCTAGAAAACACCCCTGCCCAAGGAAGGAAGTTGCTGGTCACAGTACACCTCTCGGCCTCCGTGGGGTACTCATGGAGCTCACGATCTAGGGGGAGAATGGACAGCACACATGAAAGACGATAAGGTGACAGTAAGGGCTAAGGTGAAAAATAAGGCAGAGGAAGGAGTCAGGGAGTGAGGTCAGGGAAAATCTCTGAGCAGGTGACATTTGACTAGGGACATGAAGGTGAGGGGGGGAGCACCTTGCCAATGTCGGAGAAGAGTGGCCTGGGTACAGGGCACAGCAAATGCGAAGGCTTTGGGGTTTGCTGTGTTTGAGGAACAGTAAGGAGGCTGGTGTGTCTTGAACAAAGAGGAAAAGAGGGAGAATGGGAGGAAATGAGGTTGATGGAGTGGTGGGTTGCTAAAACAAAGCTGATCTCATCTCTAACCAAGCTCAGAACCTGCTAGGGCTCCCCACTGCTCTCAGGAGGAAGTTCAGGCTCCTCATCGCAGCCTTCAAGGCCATACATGGTTCTGCCCCTGCCCACTCCCCACGCTTCATTTCTAGTCTACCTGATCCACCTCAGATCCTAGAATTAACTAACCAACCTCTTGATGTCCCCCAACAAATCCCAGTTCTTGGAGCTTCCTAAAATTCCTGGATACCCTTTAGTCTCTTACCCTTCCTAACTTCAGTGATGGCCCTCCACCATACTCTAGACAGCTGACAAAGTGGTCTCCATGTGGCAGGTTACACATATGTGGTGTGAAATCAGATTAAGCCAGTTTCAAGTCCTGACTGCCACCATTCTGTGGCCTCATTACCTTGAGTTTTTTAAGCCTCAGTTTCCTCAGCAGGAGAGTTGAAATCATAGTTGTTCCTCAGTGGGGCTGGCAGGTGGCATGTTAAAGGTGCTGGACTCCCATGTAGGCAACCATGGTTCAAGTCCTGGACCTGTCAGCTTGCTCTCTCTCTCTCTCTCTCTGTCCTTTAATCAAATTAAAAATAAATAAATAATTCTAAAATAAAGTTAAATTTTCAAAATAAATAATTGGGACCAGCAGTTGGCATAATGGCTATGTTTCTGGACTCCCATGCAGTCAACCGCAGTTGGAGCCCCAGACCCAGTGGATTAGGTGGCTTAGACTCAGGCCGGGCGCTTGTGTGTGCGTACCCAAGATCCCGAGAGGGGAATGGAGGAGAAGGGGTTGCCGTGTGGCCATCCCCCCTGGGGGGTGATTTCTCGCTTTCCATCTCTATCACTCTAGTGAGCCCACACGTCCTATAGCAAAAACTTCTCAAACAAATAAATGTTCCTCAAATGTATAGTCATAGTGAAGATTCAACATTACTTCCAAGTACCCAGTTTGACGCTTGTTCAAGCGAATAGAAGCCATTATGATACAATTGTCATTTTAGTCTCTTCTCCCACAACTTCCCACCCTGGGGCTTCACGCCACGTCAGCTACACTGAAACTTCTGGATGTTCCTCTTACATGACGAAAATACCCACATCTCAAGGCCTTCCCAATTGTATCATCTGCAAACCATAGTTTTGCTTCTTCCTTTGCAATCCTTTTATCTTTTCTTTTTCATGCCTTATTGTATTGACTGTGACCTCCAGAAGAACAATATTAAGTAGAAGCAGTGAAAGCAGGCATCCTTATTCTCAATCCCATAGAGGAAAACAACGACTCTTTTACTACTGTTTGGTGTGTACTTTAGGTCAATTGCGGCTCTCCTTTATAAGATCATAAAAAGTTACCTTCTATGCTTAGTTTGCTACAAGTTTTTTTTTTTTTTTCTTAAGCTTGTTTGTTGATGAGAGAGAGAGATGCTGTTTTATTTATTTTTCTTTTTTTTCTTTTTTTGGAGAGGTTTTTTTGCTATAGGGCATGTGCACTCACCAGAAAGAGAGAGAGACAGAGAGATGTCGCTGAACTCCCATGTAGTCGACCGCGGTTCGTGTCCCGGACCCGGTGGCTTGAAACTCACGCCGGGCGCGTGTGCGTGCGTGCCCAAGATCCCGAGAGGAGAATGGAGGAGAAGGGATTGTGGCGTGACCATCCCCCCTGGGGGGTGATTTCTCGCTTTCTGTCTCTATGTCTCTCTCTGTCTGGCGAGCGCACGTGCCCTACAGTGAAAATCTCTCCAAAAAAAGAAAAAAGAAGGGAACGAGCAGTTAACGTAATGGCTGTGTCGCTGGACTCCCATGTAGTCGACCGCGGTTCGTGTCCCGGACCCGGTGGCTTGAAACTCACGCCGGGCACGTGCCCTACAGTGAAAATCTCTCCAAAAAAAGAAAAAAAAAGAAAAAGAAACAAAGTGAGAAATCACCCCCATGGATGATGACCACACCGCAATCCCTTCTCCATTCTCCTCTCGGGATCTTGGGCACGCCCACACACGCGTCTGGCATGAGTTTAAGCCGCTGGGTCCGGGACTCAAACCCCGTTCGACTACATGGGAGTCCAGTGATGTAGCCATCATGCCATCTGCTGGTCCCAATACTGATTTTTTAAAATTAAAACTTTATTTGTTGTTGTTATTTTTTAATTTGACCAGAGATACAGCGAAAGGGAAAGTGAGAAAGCAAGCCACTAGGTTCAGGACTTGAACCTCAGTTGGTCATGTAGGATTCCAGTGCCCTTAAACACCATGCCTCTGCTGGCCCCCCAATACTGATTTTTTTAAAAGAATTTATTTAGGGACAGCAGGTGGCGTGGTAGTTAGGACACTGGACACTCCCACATGACTGACCACATTTCACGTCCAGACCTGGTGGATTGCTTTCTCACCTTTCCTCTCTGATCAAATTAGAATAAGTGAATGAATAAATAAAATTAAATAAATAATTATTTTAAAATTATTACTTTACTTAGCTTTGTTATTATTTATTATTTCTTAATTTGACCAGAGAGAGACCGAGAGAAGAAGGGAAATTGCAAAAGCAAGCTGCCAGGCCCAGGACTCAAACTGTGGTCAGCCATGTGGCAGTCCAGTGCTCTTAACCACCGTGCTACCTGCTGGCCCCAGATGCTGATTTTTTTTTTTTAAGAATTACTTTAGGAGGGACCAACAGGTGGTGTCGTGGTTAAGGCACTGGGCACTCCCACATGGCTGACCACGGTTCAAGTCCTGGACTTAGTGGCTTTTTTTTTTCTCTTCTCTTCTCTCTGTG